CTGATATTCAGGCAAACACGTCATCTACTCAGCTTTTTGCAGTTTCGGATTCTGAACTTACGCCTCAAGATTTTCTTTCGTCTTCTTCATTTGCTGCTTCACATCTCTATTAAGGAAGGCGTAATACCAGGCATAGTCATAATATTCTCTTCAGAACTTCTAATCGATCTCGGTTATATGCTGGACATTGCAAAATGCACACGAGGGCCACGAAGTTGCTTGCGCTTTTTTCATCAGCCCTTTGTCTTCAAGAGCATCATTTTGAAATATACACGTAGTGTTCAAATGCTAATTCTTCGTCAGCTCTCTGGTCCGGCATGACAACATTCACCTCTACGCTGAAGCGATCAGATTCTTCTTTATGGACCTGAAGCGGATGCGGTCACATTTGAACAGTATCGGGGTGCAACCAGATGGTGTGACTCGACTATTTATTGAAAATCAGTCTAGCCTCATTATCTGCCAACATGGTCACCTCAGTAATGAACAGGCCAGGTTGATGTTCAGTGCATCCATTTGTCAGCAGGGAGGAGCACGTGTCTTCTACGCCAAGATGGGAGGTGGTATAAACGTCCATCCTGTATTAATTGCGGTAAATGAGAACGGCATGACAGCTTTAAAACCACCCGTTTGAGCATGTGTTATGAATATTCTTTTTCAATATAAACTGACCCTAAAAGTAGGGATCATCGCAGGGCAACGGACATAAATTCACGTCTAAGCATTGCTGAAAAGAGTATATATCCATCCCGTGTTTATTTTGTCCCCGGTTCATTTGTTGCTCTGTCTCTCGAATTTCCACAGGAGGTTAACGATTTAGATACATGCCATCAGCAATGCATCACTGAGGCACAGAATTTATCTCGAGTAGTTTGCCTGATCACTTGTCATAACAGTAATTCAAGCAAGATAGCGAGCTTTGCAGATTGATGGACGGATAAATGAGCCGATAGACGAACATATAAACGGACAGATGGATTAAGCATACCAGCTAATAGAAAAAAGAATCACTATTATTAATGAGTATGAAATATTTTCTTTGTCGAAGAAATGAATAGCTTCTTAAATCGATGTACAAAATGTTCCATGGCTATGACTGAAAAACTTTGATATCAGACAGAAGCGGATGAAATGGGCTTTCTGAGACGAGTCTCTAGCCTTACGTGTCTCGACATCCGTGAGAGCACTGGAGAACAGTCGGTGCTTCTGCAGATTGAGGAGTCCCAGCTGCGACGGCTTGGGCACGTGTTGCAAATGCCTCCAAAAAGGAAGGCGACGCAACTGTTTCTTGCCTAACCGACCGGCAGAAGGCCCAGGAAACGGCCAAGAATAACTTGGGGCAAATGTGTGAAAGGACTGTAATCCAGACTCTGACTCTCCTCTGTCTAGACTCAAACGTAGCCACAGAATCGGGAACGTTGGAGAGGCTGTCTGACAAGTATGCCTGCCCCATCCGAAAGGATAAGCGGTCATCGAAACTGAATGAAATCAATACACCACTTAATAGGAAAATACAATTAGAGTAGGTAAAGTAGAGTAATAATTTAAGTATGCACTTGCTTTCTTCCAATTAGTCGTTTACTGGTTTGTTCAACTCAACCGTACCCTGCTCTCCTCCTTACTATCCTTGGCTCCTTTCTGATTAGCTCGCCCGGTCACGTCAGACATTTATTCCAGATTGTGTTCCGGCTTCATGACTAAATTCGACTGATGCAAAAGTTTCGTTTACATCTTTAATGAGGGTTGCACTCAGTTATCGAAGAACGTAGTGTTCAGAAAAATGTCTGGCGTTCCGTTCAGCATCGTTCATCGGCTGAACTCTTTCCAGCAACGTGATGCTACCGCTTTGCCAGTTTCTCTTTCTAAGCTTTAAAGAAAACGGTTGAAATAAATTTTTGTGAAACAGACGTCGTGACACGGCTCGTCTACGAAACTACCGATGACGGTGATGGGACAACGTTTGATGTTCATTGCCACTGTTGTCTTTGGTGTGCAGTTCTTGCCTCTGGCGTCGGTCTGACGCTTGTCTCGCAGCCCTTACATCGGAATCAGTCAGTCAGC